TTGTGTTCATAAATTATTTAAAACGTTTAATATGTTGAATTTTTAAAAACTATAATAATAGTAGTATAACTATTATCAAAAGAAATCATATACATAAATCATAAAAATATCCCATTTTATTGATCCAAAACTAAATTTAAGAATGAGCCATCCTATAGTAACCCATATGACGTTAAAAAATAAGCTAAATAAATATCCACCTAGCCACAAAGAATCTATCGATATAACTTTTGTTGAAGACGGTTTGATATAGCTTTGGAGACTATAGAGAAGAAACAAAGGAACATTCAGTTTTATATACCTAAATTAATAAATTATTAATTMTAAATATTGTAGGTATGCATTTTAATTGTATACTCTTAAACTAGTTAGTGTAATTTTAGAAACATAAGGTTTTGCATTCATAATGATWACTATATATAGAAATATAGATATGTGTTCTGATGTTAACTGATAATGTTTTTTCTTTTTATGATACACAAAGGAAGTTCAATCGGCAACGCAATAACATATATCATGTGTGGATATCTCATCGCTATGTTTGGTTGGGAGAGTGTATTTTATGTTAGCGGAGGACTTGGTCTAGTGTGGTATATTTGCTGGATTTTACTAGTCTATGATACTCCAGCCAAACATCCTACTATCAGTATTAGAGAAAGATCATACATAGAAAATTGCATTGGTAAAACCATACAAACTAGATCAAAACCGGTAAGTAACCAAAGAAAAATCATAGTTAAAATATTAGTCAGTAATATAATGTACTTATAGGTGCAGTAATATACTAATGTATATTAGTATGTTAAATTATTATTATTTTTTATTAGAGGGAACCCGTGGCAACATAGCCCATTGGGTGTGAGATGATACGGTAAGGGTTATTTTTATGGATTTGTAGGTTTTTTTTTTAGTTGGTAGATTATAACACGTATTTGTGTATGTGTGGCAAGGATATGTTGCTTAAAATCCCGGRCAGTCACCCATCAGGAAGCTATAGCAACTGCGGCTGGTATGTACGTTCAGTGCGTTTTCACAAACTGAGCGTACGACCGCACCTCACCAAGCCACAGTTAAATTATTACTATTAAGTTTATATGGTAGTTATATCCAACAATTTTATCAAATCTCTATATTTCTGAAAGATCATTTCACGAAAACCAAAATCTRGAATCCGTTTTCYCAAAATATTATTTCATAAAAACAAAAATCCCAAATTAATTTTTAGATTCTGAACGAAGTGATGAATGTATTGATTTTACAATGATGTGTGTGTTTTTTTTTTTGTGTCTGTATACAGCATAACTAGTCGAAATAATGCTTCGTTTTCAAACTTTGGGGGTGGTCTCCGATGTAAAAGTGAATATCCTTGGTGCAT